AAGGGACCTTAGTAAAACCATCCTATTTACAATCGCATCTAGGAGACTAAAATGTCTAGGAAAAAGTCTAACCAGGGACATGAAGAAATTATATAAATAAAACAATAAAATACTGCTGAGAGAGATTAAAGACGACTTAAATAACTGGAAATATGATCCATGTTCATGGATTGGAAGAGTTAATATTCTTAAGATGTCAGTGTTACCTAAAGTGATTAGTAGATTCATCATGATCCCAATCAGAATTCCAACAGCCTCCTTTACAGAAATAGAAAAACCAATTCTCAACGTTTCTATGGAATGGCAAGACCCCTTGAGTACCTGAAACAATGCTGAACGAGAAGAACAAACTAAACTAGGAAGACTCAGACTTCCTGACTTTAAAACATGTTATACAGCTCCTACATTCATCCAAGCAGCCTGGGACTGGTGTGACAATAAACACATAGACCAGTGGAATAGAAGTGAGAGGCCAGAAATAAACCCACACATCTATGGTCATCTGATTTTGACAAGGGTGCTAAATTCATTCTGTGGGAAAAGAAGAATCTTTTCAAGAAATGGTGCTGGGGTAATTGGATTTCCACATTGTAACAAGTGAAAGAGGATCCAGCCTCACATCATTACTCAAAAACAAATTCGCAGTGGATTAAGGACCTAAATACCGAAACACATAAAATTCTTACAAGAACAAACAGGACAGCACTATGAAATCTAGCTTTCAACAATGGATTAACTAATACAATAGCAAAAGGACAAACTGCAAATGACAAAATAAATGAATGACACCTTGTACAAATTAAAGACTTTTGTTTATCAAAAGACTTTACCAAAAAGTGAAAAGACTTTCTTCAGAAACTGTATATCCATTAAGAATCCAATAATCAAAATATATGTAAAACTTTTACAACTTGCGCTGTGCACAGTTGATGTATGTATGGAATGTGATAAGAGTTGTGTGAGCCCCTAATAAAATGATTACAAAAAAAAAACTTTTACAACTTATAAAAAAGACAACATCCAATCAGAAAATAAGCAAAAAACTTGAGTCGACATTTCACCAAAGAAGGCTTTCAAACAGCTGTCAAATACATAAGACGCTCAGCATCATTAGCCATCCGAGAGACACAACTCCAAATCACAGTGAGATACCATTCCACTCCCAGTCGGATGGTTAAGACTAAAAAAAAGAAGAAGCAAAACTAAACAAACAGGAATAATCCATGTTGCAGAGGACGAAGATTAATTGGAACCCTTATCCAGTGTTGGTGACAATGTAAAATGGTACAGTCATTGTGGAAAATGGTGTCGCTGTCCCTCATAAAAACTAAAATTAGAACTATCAGATGACCCAGCAGTTCCCCTCCTAGGCACACACACAAAAGACTTCAAAGCAGATCGTCATTGCAGCGCTATTCACATTAGCCCAAGCATACACGCATCAATGAATGGATAAACAAAATGTGGGATAAGCATACATACAATGGAATACTAATCAGCCAGTAGGAGAAATGAAGTCTTGATACATACTACTGCATGGATGAAGGCTGAAGACATTATGCTGAGAAAATAAGCCAATCACAAACTGTGCAGCTCCAACTCGCAGTAACCAGAGGGACAACGTAACAAAACACTGTCGGATCCTGTGCCACCCTCACAATCAGCCCTATATTTGAGCCCATTGTTGTAGCCATATGTCAATCCATCTCCCTGAGGGTCTTCCTTTCCCAAGCCTACTCTCCTCCTCCAGGGACTGGTCCCTTCTGATAACATGTCCAAATTCCATGGGACAAAATCTTAACCATCCTCACTTCTAGGGAGCATTCTGACTGCACTTCTCCCAACACAATTTGTTTATTCTTCTGGCAGTCCATGGAATATCTAATAGTCTTCACCATACCGTATTTCAAAGGCACCAATTATTCTTTTGCCTTCTTTACTTATAATCCAGCTTCCACATGCATATAAGGCAACTGAAAATTCCAGAGCTTGGGTCAGGCAAAGTGACATCTTTGCTTTTTCATGCTTTAAATATGTATTTTCCAGCAGATTTACAATGCAATACATCATTTGATTTCCTGATTATTGCTTTCATGGATGTTGATAGTGGATCCAAGTAAAAAAGAAACCTTTGACAGCTTCAATCTTTTCTCCATTTATTTTTGTTTTATGTTCAGATTTAATCCATAGTGAAAGGCTCAGCCTTTGATCTTCATCAATAAGTATTTCAAGTCCCCTTCACTTTCAGCAAGGTTCTGTCATTTGTACAATGCAGGTTAGTAATGAATCTTCCTCCGATCCTGATGCGTGTTCTTCTTGGAGTCTCTGCTCAGCTTTGGGATGAAATAAGTATGGTATAAGGATACAACCCTGATGCACACTTTTCTTGATTCTTAAGCCACACAATACTCCCCTGTTCTGTTAGAATGACTGACTGTCTGTTGGTCTGTTTACAGGTTTCACATGAGCATGGTGAAGTTTTCTTCAATTCCCATTTTTTGCAACATTATCCACAATTTGTTATGATACACAAATGCCTTTGCATAGCCAATAAAACACAGTATTTCTAACATTTTCTGTTTCAGCTAAGATCCTCTGATATCAAACATTGTGTGACCTCACATATTAAAAAACAAGAAAAGGTAAATGTACAGAGGGCAACTAGTAATTGCCAAGGTGAGAGAGATGGGGGGAAGGGGGGATTCACAATGGGATATCAGCACTGTAGTTAATTGGTCTAATAATGAGTTGAGTGCTACCCCCTAGTTTTGGGTAGTGTCTGCAGTCTTAGAGACTCCGACTGGCCATCCAGTGCACAAGAATTGGTCTTTTCCACTTGGAGAAATAAAAGAAGGAAAGTCATGAGTATTGTTATTGTCAGGTGCCATCTGATCAGTTCTGACCCATAGTAACCCTATGGGCACAACAGAACAAAATATGACCTGGCCGTGCTCCAGCTTCACAATTGTTCCCATGCGTGAGCTCATTGTTGCAGCCACTGTATCAATCCATCTCCTTAAGGGCTTTCCCCTTTTTTTTGCTCTACTTTACCAAGCATGATGTCTTTCTCCAGGGACTGGTCTCTCTTGACAACATATCCAAAATATGTGAGACAAAGTCTCACCATCCTTGCCTCCAAGGAGCATTCTGGCTGTACTTCTTCCAAGACAGATTTGTTTGTCATATCAGTCCCTGGTACTTTCAATATTCTTCATCAGCACCAAAACTCATACACGTCGATTCTTCTTCCATCTTCCTTATTTTTTTTTCCATCTTCCTTATTTAATTTCCAACCTTCATATGCATATGAGGTGAAAGAAAATTCCATGGCTGGGGGAGGAGCACCTTAGTTCTCACAGGAACCTCCCTGCTTTTCAACACGCTAAAGAGGTCTTGTGCAGCGGATTTACCCAATGCAATGTGTCTTTTGATCTTTTGACTGCTGCTCCCATGAGCATTGATTGTGGCTCCAAGTAAGACAAAGTCCTTGACAACGTCAATCTTTTCTCCATTGATCGTGGTGTTACCTATTGGTCTAGTTGTGAGGATTTGGGTTTCTTTTACATTCAGTTATAATCCACACTGAACACTGCGATCCTTGATCTTCATCAACAAGTGTTTCAGATCTTCCTCACTTTCAGCAAGCAAGATGGTGTCATCTCTATATTGAAAGTTGATGATAAGCCTTCCTCCGATCCTGATGCTGCATTCTTCTTCGTATAATCCAACTTCTTTATTTGTTCAGCATACAGACTGAACAAGTATGGTGAGAGGCTACAACCCTGATGCACACCCTTCCTAACTTTGAGTCACCAATAGGAGGAGAATACAGGATGGGTTCTGTTGTGCATAGGATCACTGCGCATAGGAACTGACTCTGGCACCTAACAGCAACAATGTGGAATGTGACCAATTGCCTCCACGAACAACTCCCTCTTTTGCCAGAAGAACTGGATGGTGCCCCACTACCATTACTGAACATTTTGATGTAAGATTCCAGAGAAGAATCTTGATCAAAAGGGGGAAATTTAAGAATAGAATCTCAAAGTGTCACGAACTCTCAACTTTCTGGAGGGTGGACACATCCCTGAACCTATTTGCCTGAGATAATCTTTAAATTTCAATTCAAAAATACCCCAACATCTTAAAGCTAAGTTTAGCTTAACTAGTAAACAAGAGGCCTGCCTTGTTTATTATGCTTTTAAGAGCTATCTACTTGGGATCAAATTGACAACACAAAGGTGGAAGATTAGATAAGAACCTTAGAGGCAATGAGCTTATGTTAATGAGGGAGGAACAACTCAAAAAAGGAGGGCAGGAATGATTGTACACCCCAAAGAATATATCAATATAACTCATCTGTATGTGTAGAACCTGTTGAGTGGGTATCAGTTTTGCTGAGTATATTCTCAACAACAAAATAAAATTTAGGAAAAGCAAAATAAAACCCTATGGGGCAGTTCTACTGTCGGTGAGGTAAGTAGTCTTAGGGACCTGGTTCACTCACTCACTATTCTGCAAATTAGTACTGAGTGGCTGTGGTGCCCCAGGCACGGTGCCAGGGGCTATGAGTACAGGAATGGGCAGGACAGACCCAGCCAGCACCTCTTAGAGCTCTGGGAAGGGTGCAACACATGATTCCAGGAAAGCTAGGAAACACTATTTAATCTAGTAACTTTTTTTTCAAACATTTTATTGGGGGCTGGAACAACTCTTATCACAATCCATCCATCCATTGTGTCAAGCACATTTGTACATTTGTTGCCATCATCATTCTCAAAACAATTGCTTTCTACTTGAGCCCTTGATATAAGCTTCTTATTTTCCTGAACCCTCCCTTCCCACCCCCTCCCTCACGAACCCTTGATAATTTATATATATTTTTTTCATGTCTTACATTGACCGATGTCTCCCTTCACCCACTTTTCTGTTGTCCGTCCTCCAGGGAGGGGATTATAGGTCGATCATTCTAATCGGTTCTCCCTTTCTCCCCTCTCTAGTAACTCTTTCGTTTCAGCTCTAGGTGTTTTGTCACTGTATTTCCTCGTCGCCCCGAGAAACTGGGCTTGTCCTCATTTTACTGTCGAGGAAGCAGAGGCTGCCTCTTCTCTGAGACGTGAGCGAGCCGACTGTTGGCCGGGAGAGGAGCTGGGAGCCGGATATAGACTTCCCGGAAGGCTGGAGCAGCAGAGGCCCTGGTAGTGGGAGGGTAGGGGACCCTTCGCCCGCCCCCTGGCCGCAGCGTGGCTGGGCCGGGTAGGTCCGGGGCGGAGTCGGCGCTGCCGAAGGGGCGGGCGGGAGGACGACCGCCGGCCCCGCTGGGCGGGCGGGCAGACAGGCTGGGGGGCATTGGCAAGGAGGACCGGCAGACGGAAGGTGGCCCAGGGTCCTGGGGATGCGACCTCTCAGCCAAAGAAGGGATTGAGCTGTCCCACCTGGGCAGACCCCGTAAGTGAGCGCCCGCCCCCCGGCACCCCGTGCGCCCCCGCCCCAGCAGTGCTTCCACTTTCATTTCCTGGCAGCCCCAGTGAGGCACCGTCCGGAGGCCACCTCGGCCCAAAGGCACGGCAGCCAGTCTCTGGTCCAGGATCTGTGCCGAGCACTCGGAAAGTCCGGGCGGGGGGTGGCGGGGGTCGAGGGGGCGTGTCCTGGGAGCGGAAATGTCAGACCGGCTTCTCTGTGACCTGTGCCCCGTTAGACCCTGACAGGTTGGCTGCTCAGAGAAGTGGTGATGAGAAGAACCTGGGCAAGGGGGTGGGGGTGGGGGGAGTGGCAGGAGGCGGGTAGGGAGGGTGGCAGATCCCTACAGGGAAGAACATGGAGTCTCTGCCTCTAACTTCCTCATAGATCTCGGCCAGCATCACACAGCCTCCCCTCCCCAGTCTCACAGTGCAGGCTGGGTAGTAGGTTCAAATCGGAGCTCTCCTTAGGCTAGGCCAAGAGAGCAGTAGCCATGACCCTGGAGGGGGCTGAATGTCAGAACCACAGAGGGTCACCTTATGGTCCAGATGTCCATGTGGGAAGTGAACAGGTCACTGGCACGCTAAAGAAACACCCAGAAACAGAAGCCAGGTTCAGGGGACCCCTGTAGCAGTTCAGGGAGAGGGACAGAAGTTTAGGCAGGGACAAAGACTGAGTGCATGGAGAGGGTGGCGGGCACTCCATTAGGGAAGACAAGCTGCATGGATAGAAAGCCACCTGCCCTGCACACCCTTCCATGCCCCCCATACCCTTCCCCTAATCTTATTTTGTCTGAGAAGACCAGATGGGGCTCCAGCTCCTTGGTCAGGGTGCCCAAGTTGCTGTGGGAAAGGGGTGAGGAGCTCTGTGTGTTGGGGAAACAGAAAGCAGTTTGGTCTGTTTGGTGGAGAAGATTCTTCCCCTTCCACACACTACCCTCTTCTCCCCTTCTCTGCACTAGAATAGATCAGTCCATGTTGGACAATGGTCCTTTACTCCTGGCCAACCTTGTCCCCGCTCTGCCTATCATCTCTGTGACCACAGACTCTTCAAATGCACTCCCTTGGCCTTCGTCTCCCCTTGGGTTCAGGAAGAGGGTTGGGCCAGCTGTCGGGAGGTGGAAAATGAGACCAGAAAGGGAGGATAAGATGTTTGGGCCAAGTCAAGGGTCTGTTTGCCATATTGAAGGTCTGTTTGCAGATGCAAAGTTGGTGAGCTCAGGAACCCCCACCAACTATAGTGTGAGTGATTTTGGAAGCCGCTGCCACAGGATAATTTAGAATGGAGGCTGTACTCAAAGTGTGGACTCCTTCCGTCAGGCAGTAGGTCTCACCCTAAGGACTTCTTTAGGTGAGAAGTTGAGAAGTAGGGGGTTGGGTAAGACGACCTTCAGCATCTGTTGTATTTATCAAGGGGACAAGGTCCTGCTGGAAGACTCCCCAGTTGCCTTCATCTTACTTGATTGTCCCGCTCCTGGCTTGCCTGTGGTGTGAATAGGAGAAAGTGCCTTGTTCCAAACATCTCCTCCATCCGCTTGACTGGAGCCCGAAGTGACCCCTCCGTGACGTGCTGTGTCTCTGGCTAGCCCCAGTATGGCCTTGTGCCCACCTTCCCTTCCTTGGCCTTTTCCCAGCATTACCAGAGTGTGGAGAAGAAAGATGCTGGTGTCAGCCAGGCATGCTCAGGTCAGGCTTTGTCTGTGGCAATACTCAAGCCTCCGCCTAGTGTGAGGCTCAGGACTCAAACTGAACAAGGTCAGGGCCAGGTCAGACTTCAGCCTTGGCTCAGAACCACATGTACCCAGAGGCTAATCTCAGCCTTGTGCTCTGGGGGTTAGGGTCAGTGTACTCTGTTTGTGGCTAAATTCCAGTCTGCAGTCTGCATTTTCCAGGTGCTCGCAGGAGAGATGAGGTGACTGCACTGAGAGCTTCAGCAATGTGGCTTCTATTGGAATGACCCAAGAGGTCACAGGGGGTCACCCAGCAAGTCAGTGGTAGAGATGGAACAAGACCCCAGGACTTCTGCTTCCAAGCCTGGGGCTCTGACCACTGCCTCCAAAGCCTGTTCTGAGTGGAGTCCTTCAATCCCAAGAGGCAGCGAATTTTATGGGCTCTCGATGGTCTTAGCTGGTGGATCCTCCTGCCCTCTCCTCCCACCCAGCAGTGTCATGGAGTCAATGGCGACTCATAGCAACCCTCCAGGACAGGGAAGAACTGCCCCTGTGAGTTTCTGAGACTGTAACTATTTACCAGAGCAGAAAGCCCCATCTTTCTCCCAAAGGGCAGCTGGTGGGTTTGAACGGTTGGCCTTGCAGATCACAGCTTCACAGGTAACCGCTCGGCCACCAGGCTCCAATAGAGGTCTAGGATCTGCTAAGTGTTGAGCACAGGGGAAGGGGCCAGTGGCTTGCTGAGGGTGGGGGTTAGAGGACAGGCTGGCTAGGGGGAAGGATGTCCGGCCATTGACTAAAAAAACTAAACAACCTTGCCACCCACTCCTGCTCCAGCACCTGCAGCGGCACTCTGAGGCCGGCCAACAGGTCACGTGAGGGGCCTTTCCTGTTTCAGGATAGAAAAAGGAAAGGACATTTTTGGTAGTTAAGCCCCTCTTGTTCCTTGGGAATCCCCAGCACCAAGATGAACTACGGGATATCCCAAAGGAAACTGAAGGGGAAGGCCCTCACTCCGGCCCCAGCGCCGTGCAGCTGGGCTTGCCACAGTGCACCAGCTGGCCTGTGGGAGCTCCCAGAGGTCAACTCGTCTTGAACAGGCCGCAGGGCCTGGCAGGCCCACAGAGAGCCCCTGCAGCCTTGGGCCCACAGCAAGTCCGAGCAGCACCAGCGCTCTGGGAGATGAGATGAAACAGAAACGAAGCAAGGTCAGAGGGCTGTGGGTGTTGGCCAAGCGGGGCAGGATGCTGGACCTAGGAAGTGAGGAGAATTTAGATTTTAGGCAGAGGACGCGGAGGTTGATCTAAGACTCGGCGAGCGGGAAATGACATGTTGGGAAATCAAAACCCCTTCGGTAGAGCTCTGACCTCAATGCGCTTGTTTGTGGCAGGGCACCCGCAGGTCAGAGCCCCCGACATCCGGCCCCCTGGGGCCATGGCGCTGTGCCTGAAACAAGTGTTCTCCAAGGACAAGACGTTCCGGCCTCGGAAGCGCTTTGAGCCCGGCACCCAGCGCTTCGAGCTGTACAAGAAGGCGCAGGCCTCGCTCAAGTCCGGCCTGGACCTGCGCAGCGTGGTGAGGCTGCCGCCGGGCGAGAGCATCGATGACTGGATTGCAGTGCACGTGGTGGACTTCTTCAACCGCATCAACCTCATCTACGGCACCATGGCTGAGCGCTGCAGCGAGGCCAGCTGCCCGGTCATGGCCGGCGGGCCCCGCTACGAGTACCGCTGGCAGGACGAGCGCCAGTACCGGCGGCCGGCCAAGCTCTCGGCACCGCGTTACATCGCGCTGCTCATGGATTGGATCGAGGGCCTCATCAACGACGAGGATGTCTTCCCCACGCGCGTTGGTGAGCCGAGCCACCTGGCAGGCCTGCACAGTTGCAGCGTTTTGATCTCGGGGGTGAGGTGGGAGGCTCCATGATTTGGTGGAAGAATCCGAGGCTCTTAGAAATTAAGTGCCTTGCTCAAGGTCAGGCAGGACTCTCAATTTGAGACGCTTCTTAGCCAAGGCTTGAGCGGCTCTCTAGAGAGGTGGTTCTCAACCTGTGGGTCGCGACCCCTTTGGGGGGTCAAATGACCCTTTCACAGGGGTCACCTAAGACGATTGGAAAAACCGTAAATATTTCACAATCTATAATTACATATTGTTTTGTGATTAATCACTGTGCTTTCATTATGTTCAATTTGTAACAATGAAAATACATCCTGCATATCAGATATTAACATGACCATGCATAACAGGAGCTAAAATACAGTTATGAAGTAGCAATGAAGATAATTTTATGGTTGAGGGTCACCACAACATGAGGAACGGTAGGTATTGAAGGGTCTCGGCATCAGGAAGGTTGAGAACTAGAGACTCCGCAGCATAGACAGATTCTCAGAATCTTCCAGGCCCTAGGTGTTTATAGCAGGTTCCATCCACCTGTTTGGGCTGATCTGCCATCCAGCCTTTTCAGAACTCCCTCAGAGTCCATGCCCCGGCAGGACAGTTTTCAGTTTTAACGCTGAAGCTCTGACAGCAGAACTTATCCTTGCCAGGCCAAAGGCCTCTTCTTATCTCAGCTAGGCAGCCTGGGTGCAGTGGAGCAGAGGGGAAGGAAGGAGGGCAGGCACCCCCAGAGAGCATGAGGGGTGTCAGCTAAGGAGCTGATCAGCATGATTCTATGTGCATCACAGCTGCCTCATGGGTACCCTGGGGTGCCACCCCTACCTGCTGAGCCTTGGCAAGGCTGTGGGAGGGGTAGAGTCAGAGATGGGTGGGGCAGGGTGGGCAAGCCCAGAGAGGAGAAGTCTGAACACTGAGGGAAGCTGGGCACTGAGTCACATTCTATGCCCACAACTCTTCCTCAGCAGGCGGTTGGTGGTTTCCTGCACCGTCATGCCCAACAATACCCCCTTGCTACCCAGTCAGTTCCGACTCATAGTGACCCTGTAGGCAGAGCAGAGCTGTTCCGTGGGAATTCCAAACCTCTCAGTTGTCAGGGTAGCCCGCCCCTAACAAATCATCACAGATCCAGTAGGCACAATTATACAGCGATAATAAGTAAATATTATAGTAAAGTCATAGAAAATATGAGTGATAGGAGAGAGAATAAAATGAAAGAGTCAGACACATCTCATGGTAGCATGCTCACCTCAGCTCCTCTTGGTGGCACAGGGCAGAAGAGAGAGCGAGATTTATTACTAACCAAGGCTTACATATCTTTTGGGGGTTTGCAAGCCCCCTAATTACAGGTAAAGACATATGTCACAGGAAGGGGTTGTGCTATAGGTACTACAGTAATGGAAGGGGGGCGATCTAGGGGCATACACGCAATAGGAAGGGGAGGCATTGGGGGTCCACATGTGACAAGATGGGCGGATCCTAGAGTCATGATGGCAGCCTAACCTTGATTTCCCTAAGCTGGAGACTTGATTTAGCCTAAGCTTTCAGCGGAAGCAATCCACTGGCCCTAAAAGCAGGGAGTGAGCCCTATGTATTGTGGGAGAAACAATGGTGTCTGCTTGCTCTGGATGGCTGTAGTCTTCAGGTAGATAACTTGACAATCATTTGCCATTAGTTGCAAGCAGTGTCCTAAGACTAACATATATATTTGGGGGAGTCTAGTTGGGGAACAGTCTTTTGGTATCCCACAGTCAGTCTTAATGGGAGCAGCTCTATCTTCTTTCCTCAATCAAAGAGGCCGGTGGATTGAGCCATGGGCCTATGCTTAGCAAACCACGTGCTTAACCACCAGAGTTCCTGTATGCCCAATAATGGTACGGTACCTTCATTTTCCATCTCATCGAGACTCTATCGGAAACCTAGCCTCTGTAGGTTTCCAAGACTAAATCTTTACAAGAGTAGAAAGCCTCATCTTTCCTTCAGAGTGGCTGGTGGTTCCAACTGCTGACCTTGAAGTAAGCAGCCCACTATTCCACCAGGAGGCCATAACTGTGAGTCTGAATGACTCTGGTCTGAAGACCAGAATCCATTCTGGTCTCTTGTTCAAGATGAAAAGAACAATTCTGAGGCAATTCTTGTTTGGACTGCCCGGGCTCACCAGGAGGCCAGGCTCAACTCTGCCCATCAGTGGAGTGGAAGAGGCCAGGTCTGGGCCTGTGGTGAGCTTTACTCCCTTCTAGCCTTAACTCCTGAGCCTGGGAGACCCCAGGTGGATCTTGGGGCAGCTCTGTCACAGCAAGAAGGCATAGCCATCCAAATCTCCACTCTGAGAGTGGGAGCTAGACCAAAATTGTTCTTTGTCCCCACAGATCCTGAAGCTTCCCACGGGCAGGAAAGGTGTAGGATCTATATAATTCTTGTCTAAGGGGTACTAGGGTATGCTGCAAAGAGAGCTTGACCCTGTCTCCAGCCTTTCCTAATTAATAGTTATGTGACCTTGGGCATGTTTATGTGCCTCAGTTTTATCATATCTGGAAGCCTAGGATTAGACCCCTCAGCAAGTTTGCTATAAGAATTAGAATCAAAAGTATGGAAACCCCTGCGCAGGGCCTGGCTTATATGCACGGTTCTTCATCAAAGTTATTGAACATTTGAACTCTTCTCAGGATTGGAGGTCTAAGGTCAGCTGTGTGATGTTGAGAAGAAGGAGGGCCTCTGGGTGGGGCCAGAGATTAGGGTCAATGTCAGAGCATCAAAGGCCTTGAACAGGTACCATGCCAGGAGTTAGGACTTAATCCTGAGAACCTGATTTGGTGTTTTACACAGGCTCCATCTGTTTACGAACTTCCTTAGTATCATCTTCAGGGATGTGGTAAGCGCATACCTGCAGATGCGTGCATTTCCAGAAAGGCTATAATTACTTTGATTGTAGTTTTAAAAGGGTTGATCACACACACACACACACACACACACACACACACACACACTCACTCACATACACACTCAGGCTTGCATAGCCCTGCTTTTGGTGATGGGAAGATAGAGAAGATGGTTTGTATTCCAGCAGGGAAGAGGCCCGTTGGATGTGTTCCACTAAAATAGAAACTATGGGAGAGAGCCAGAGGAAGAAGTTGCCTGGTGGGGTGGGGGTGTGGGGGCAGCAAGGCTGAGCTGCATTTCATCATTAGAATGCCAACTCCTCCTTTTTGCCCCAACCCACTCCACAGGAGTTCCCTTCCCTAAGAACTTCCAGCAAGTCTGCACCAAGATCCTGACCCGCCTCTTCCGAGTCTTTGTCCATGTTTACATCCACCACTTCGACAGCATCCTCAGCATGGGGGCCGAGGCGCACGTCAACACCTGCTACAAGCACTTCTACTACTTCATTCAGGAGTTCAGCCTGGTGGACCAGCGGGAGCTGGAGCCACTGGTGAGGCTAAGCCCCTGCTGCCCCTTCCCACATCCTCCAAAGCTTGCCTGCTTTGAGAAAGTCCCATATACAAGTTTCAGATGCATATGTTAAATCTCAAAATTCAAAACAAAACTTACTGCTACCGAGTCGATTCTGATTCCCAGTGACCTATAGTAGAACTTCTCCCCTTGAAATTCTGAGGCTGTACATCTTTACAGAATTAAAATGATGCTTCATTATCATGAGGCGCAGCTGGTGGGTTAGAACTGCAGCCCGACATGTAACCCACGATGCCATCAGAGCACCTCACGAAATAACACAGATGCATTTAGGGAAAGAGAAGTTACTCAACGACTCATTCTCTACTTTCCTAGAGAATTTATTCAAGATCTTCGGGCTGGAGTTGTATGTGTGTTGTGAGGGATGGGAATGAGGAGCTTGGGAGTGCTGGTTGGAGGGGCCAGAGTCAGGCAAAAGAACAGCCAGGCCCTACAGTTTGGGAGGGGGATGCCTGGCAGCTTGAGCTCTGACTGACCCACCCCATCTTGTGTCTCTGCAGAGGGAGATGACAGAGAGGATCTGCCACTGAGCCCAGGCCTGGACATTGTTGCCTGACAGGCAGGGGCAGGGGACCCCAAGAAGTCTGGTGTTAGAGAAGCCTGGAGACCCTGAGACTCCCTGCACACACCACAACCAAAGCCCCGGGACTTCTGCCCACATGTCCCTCTCACTGCTTGTGAATGGACGAGGAGGAAGGTTGCAAGGTGGCAAAAGAGAAGGAAAGGAGGAGTGAAACCTCTGGCGATGAAGTCACTAGTGGGGTAGACCAGAGGGTTTCTTCCCTAATACTTGGCCTCCTCATGGTGATTCCCAAGCCTGTTTAGGGCATGTGGATGTGACTAAGGTGATGGTAAGAAAGATGCAAGAGAGTGAGTGGCCTGTGTGAATAAGCACAGATAACAATGAATGAGTGAGTGTGTGTGTGTGTGTGTGTGTGTGTGTGTGTGTGTGTGTGCACGCGCGCATGCGTGTGTGTATGTGTGACTTTGACTGTGGGAGGTGTCTGCACACCTGGCACACAGTACACCCTCCATAAATGAATGACTGAATGAAAATACTGGGGTCATCGGACCAAAACCACTCCAGCAGCATGGTGGGTCAGTAGCCCTGCTCCACATAGCTCACCACGTTAGCACATACTCAAAATGTGGTTCTAGGATCATCTCTGCCTTTGAATTTTCCGGGCTGCATGTCTTGGGGAGCTGGGGGCAGGTAGAGCCTTGCCCTGAGTGTCTAACCTGCTGGCCACTGTGAACACAGGTTCTGATTTTCCCAGCCAGAGAGGTTCACAAGCTTTCATTTCACCCATCCTTTTGCCTCTAGGGACTCCTGATTATAACTCCTGGGGACTGGGGGTGCTCTCTCAGTTTCACAAAGGTCCCCTGGCCCTTAAATTGGAAATCATATACTTCAATGTAGTTCCCAGAATCTTGAGACTTGGCTGCCAAGATTTGAAGCCCAAGACAAACATCCTCCAGCCCAAGTTGCCAGTGGAACTTGGATGAGAAAACTCCAGAGTCTCGTCTCCCATACCAGGACATAGTAGCTGGTGAATGGATTCTTCCAGACACAGGGAATCTGCAAGTAGCTGCCTGCTTCCTAACCATCCCTGAGACATTCCAGCTGCCTGGAGCTTAGAGCACAGACATCCACATTGCAAGAGGCTGGGTGTTCATTCAGAGCTCTATTACTTTTGCCCTCATGCCTGGAGCCATGGGAAAGCAAGGCAAGAATGTGACTTTACCATACCCAAATGGCCATGCTGGAAGACCAGGATGAAGAGAGAGCCAGAAGGAACCTGAGAGTCATCCAGGCTCACCGTGTCAGTGTCCCTGGAAGAAACTCTTGATACCTGGAGGAAAGAGCGAAGAGATGGTCCAAGACCTCCTAGGGAGGCCTTCGTGGAATTAACCTGGAAACCAGGACTCTTTACTCTCGGCCAGGGCTCGTCAATTGCTAAATAGGAACTATGAGGTGCACGTGCAAAGAGGGTTTGCCAACCTATTTTTCAGGACCTACTGTTCCTGCTTTGAGCAAAGATTTCTAGCCTGATACCGGAGTGTCCCACCATTCCTCAGGCTGGGCTTGTCTGCTGAGCCAAGCCTCCACATTCATCACCCCACAGCTGCCTGCCCACTAAGGAAACGGATGGAACTCCTAGGATCAGCCAGCTGGACCTGTGACTGTTGCCTCCTGAGAAATTCCCAAGGGAACTGTGCTGGCCTAGCAGCTTTGCCAGAGGCTCCGGGGAGAGGGCCAGAGCTTCCTGTCCTCAGGCTGGGCTGTGGCTTGGAAGATGGATTCTAGGCTGTGGCCAGGGCTGATTGTGGGGAAGGGGTAGGGAAATCTATTTTTGTGAAACAGAGGGAAGACTTTATTGTTGTTATTTTTGGTAAAATAAAGGAGGCCAACTAAAGCTGCTGCAGCTGGTGGCAAGCTCTGGTCTGGGTGCCACATGGCTGCTGGGCGGACTGTAGAAGGAGCCAGGTCATTGGGGGAGGGAGGGCTGTGTGGAAGATTAGCTGGTGTGGTCTTATCTGGCCTGGGCTCTCAAGGGTGGGGACGCTGAGGTTTCCGCAGTGCTCTGGGACTTCCGGGCCAGACTGAACTAAGACCTTTGGGGTGCAGACAGCTGTTCCTAGTCTTTCTGTTGCTTTGCCCAATGAGGGAAGTTTTTCCTTATTCCAACTCAGCACCTGGCACCAGCTCCTCTTGACCTCCCTGGTTAATCTGGGGGTTTATTGGAGCAAATAGGTTGATGGACAGGGAAGAAATAAGGGGGCAGGGGAAGGTTTCAAAAAGTGTGTGGGAAAAGTGGAATTAAAAGATAGATCATGGGATTTTTCCAGAAACATTTTGAAGCACCGTCATGTGGTCCCAATGCTAATCAGCAGCGAAGGCCTCCTCAAGAAGACTGTCCATTGGCTGCTCGCTGGAGCTCCAAGTGGTGGCAGTTGGCCATGGGACAGAGTCCTGAGCTTACTCCCCCAGAGCCACCTGAGCCTCTGGGCTCAGTCAGGGCCTGCTGTCATCCCGTTCCTCCCTACTTATAAACTACCTCCTTGACAGGAGTTGAAAACACTGGTTCAGATGTAGACTCTGGTCCAGTAAATCAGGTGGAAAGGTGCCTGTTTCACTCAGCAGGGGGTAGAGCCAGGGCTCAAAGCACTGACTGCAAAGTAACTTGGTCCAGAGAGGTCAGCAAAGGCTAACATGGAGCTCTCCCCACGCCCCCACCTGCGGGGGCTTTATGCAAGGGTCCTCGCAGGACAGAGGGACCTGGGTTCTAGTCCCAGGCCCTGGGGTGTCACAGCAGGCCCCTTCTCTCTGTTAATCCCAATTTCTCCAGTTGTTTCATGTTCACAAGTGGCAGCAAAGGACTGACAGATTGCTAAATTCCTTCATGACTTAGCTTCTGTGAATCAGTCACAACCATGACAGTAGTAGCTAATGCTCACTGTGTTTCGGTTCTAAGTGCTTGACACAGAATAGTTTATTGAATCAAGTTTGTCCTGGGTCAGCTGCCTGGCTCTGCTCCTTACCCTCAGTGCCCTGCTTTCATCAGTCCAGGAGCTAGAAGCCCCTCCACTCTACTGCTCTTTCTTCTGGCTCCAGGGAGGCTCTCCTCCACATTGTAAAGAATGGCTTTGCTTGCATACCTCTTATGACAGGTCACTTACTACCTGCTTAGTCATTGGACAGCTCAGACGGTTAGAAAGTTCAGCCTCTGGACTCATAGTTGTTCTGAAACACGATGGCAGTAAGGATCCATTTATCTCAGCTCAGTGGCCCACGGCCGGCACCCGATATAGGAATGTCTTTACAAAACTGCTTTGAAAGACTCGGAAAGGGATGCTTAGAGAAAAAAAAAAGTCATGGGAAAGCGAGAGATGAGAAAATGGGAGCCTCAGAGACGCAGACCAGTCCCCTATAGATCAACACCTGGCAGGAACGGGTCCTGGTAAAGGCAATGGTTGAGGGTAGAGGGGCAGCGTGGCTGGGGAAGGCATTGGTTTTCTGTTGGCTAAGCTGTGTAGACATTTTTGGAGATGAGGGCTCCATTCTCCCCACCTTGGGACAGAGCATTTGCCTGTTGAATAGAAGGCCCCACCTCCAGGACCCCTTCTGCCTCATTGAGCTTTACTGCTGCAATAATCTCATGCTCCATTCCATTACCCTCCCCTCAAGAGAACGGGGAAATGGGGGGAACCTGCTTTCAGAGAGCTCTCCTTCATTCTTCCACCCCCAGCCATCTTATCAGGTGGCAACTTGGTTGTTCTATGGAAGGGATAACAGCTTTATGAACCTAGATCGGATTACAGGCCTGAGTAACCCAGGACCAGATGTGTTTAGATAGGGGAGAACAGGAAGGGAAACAAGCCATCAGGACTTCTGAGAACTTAAAGTTTAAGGGGTGGGGGGGCACACTGGAGGGTAGGATATGCAGGTCTTCAGGCTGGACTGGGGGCGTTGTGTGAAGGACTAGGGTAAACACAAGTTTGAGAAAGATTCCGCCCCCCTCGAGCCTTCACACAGACGGAAATCTAGCAAACCAGCCAGGCCTCCTTCCAGCCTTCAGAAGAGAAGACCGAGATGAGAATAGAGGTGGGGATTTCTCACCAGAAGCTCACAGTCCTGAGACAGGCAGGTTAGGATTGCTTGGGAGGAAATGGACATTGGGAGTCAGGACCCGAATTAAATTCAAGTCACCACACCCAGCTTCTCCCGACACCTGCAGCCTAGGGGTAAGGGTTAGGTGAGGTATTCATTTAGTTGTAGTTCCCTCTTGCCAATAAATAAGCTTTTGATTTTTTTTATTTTTTAACTATTGCAGGTAATGCTTTGTTCCAAGGAGAAACTCTCATGGGCAAATGATAGGCACTTAGATATTTAATAAAACTTTAGAGAGTTAGCCCCCGTTTCCAAAAAGATTAGCAACGTTTCCTCGGACGTAAAAGGCTTGCTTATATCCCTGACATGCCGAAGCGCTCAATAAATATTAATTACATCTGTGGCTGCTGGGCCGCCCCCTCCCAGCGTATCCCCAGCGACCAGCCGGGGACTCCGGGCCCCAAGAGACGCTGCCCAAGGAGCTAAGCCCCGCCCCGGCCCCAGCAGCCGCCCGCCCACTTCATCTCAGGCCTGCGCAGTTTACTTAGCTCGGCCCGCTTGCTCCCGAGTGGTCCTTAGGGCGCACGTGTAGCTCCGCCCCCCTCACGCCCCTTTTCGGGTCGGGCCCGCCCCTCGGGTCTAGCTCCGCCCCTTCCGCGTTCTCCGCAGAGCGCTCGTCGGTGCGGGTGCGCGCGACTCGTCCCGCGGGGAGTCAGCTGAGGTAAAGAGAGGCAGCAAGGGAGAGGGGGGCTGGGGCAACGAGGGTGGGGGCAGCCAGGGCCGTCTGAGCGCCTCGAGGTCATGACCCGGTTCTGTTGCGGAGGGACAGCCAAAGGGCGCCCTTTCGGGCCCCCTCAGGGCTCTGGCGGCGGAGGTCCGGGCGCCGCGCGGGTCCGCGCTGGGGCTCAGCCTGTGCCTGGGTCGGGGTTCTGGGTCTGCGTTCCCACTGAGGATCGGGCCCACGGCACGAACGGCCAGGGTTCGGGAGGCGGAACGTCAACGGTTTTTCAAGCGAGGATGTTATAATTTTATATTTTGTTGAAAACTTGTCTGCTTTGTTGGTTTGTTTTGCAACATTTAAACCCTGGGGGCCCAGGTGGCGCTGTGCTTAAGCGCCGCCTATGTTGCTACCCCCAAAGGTGAGCGGTTCAAACCCACCAGCCTCCCCCTGGGAGAAAGGTGCCTGCTTCCAGGAAGATGAAACCGCGTGGGGCAGTTCTACTCTGCCCCACAGGGTCGCTCGCTATGAGTCGGAATGACTTGATGGCAAGGAGGTTGACCATGCGTTCATGATTGCTCCGTGGGAAGAGGAACAGTGCTTCATGCTATCTGTCCACTAGGCCAACCACCAGGTGGTCTGTGACAGATCAGGGGCTAGCGCAAGTGACAGGAATGAAGCTTTGTTGGAGGGGGTTGATGTTGGGATCAGGCCGTCCTGAGTTCCTGTCTCACATCTACCACTTCCTAGGGGTTCATCAAGTCATTTTCCATCTCAGCTTCAGTTTCTCCTCAGAAAAATGGGCATAGGAGAGTCATGAGTATTGACTAGGATTACGTTGTAAACCACCTAGTATGGCACCTGCCGTGAAATGAATGTTCAATGGGCTGGAGCCACGATTTCCAGGCACGAGTAGGTCATTATGGAATGGGTACTTGAGAGAGTGGTTGACATGACCCAGGCCTTGAAGCTTGAGTGGGATTTATAGGGGGAACTGGCTTCAGGATGAGAAGGGAACTGTGCTTACTTGCTCCCCTATGTGGGTGAATATTATCCCACTGGGTCCGCAGTCATCAGCCAAGTGCTTCTAGCCCCACTTAGCTTCAAGCCCTGGAAAGATGTGAAGAGAAGACCTAGGGTTGGGTTTGTACATGGAATGGTGTTTGTTAGAGCCTTTGATGGGCCCTTCTCCTGCTATTTCTACCTTGGCTCTTCTCTTCCTGTGATCCGGGGAATTGGCTGAGTTCTTGACCTTGTCTGGATGGTTATTACAGATTTTGTCAGTTGGGCCTGGCAAGTGAGTACTTCTTGAAATTCAGGTTGTGAGAGTTGGACCATAGGCAGAAGGTCTGTGACCTGGAGCTTGTTGGGTTCCAGCACCTCAAGGAAGCCATGTGGTGTCGTTATGTGGTCCCTTTGAAACCAAGAAACTGGGTCCTTTTCTGTCCCCTTCATGGGGGGTGGGGGGACCTGTGACTTTTGTGAGACACTTCTGATTATGGTATGTCTCTTCTAAAAACTTTGGGGGACTTTATTGCCCACGATATAGAGTCTGCGTCCATTAGCCGCACAAACAAGTCTCTGTATGATCAATCTGACCCAAATCTCTCTCCGGTTTTCCTTGACTTGTACCCTGTGCCCCAGTCAAAATAAACAAGTCTCCAACCCTCTTTTCATGTACTTCCTCCCGCCTTTGCTTATAGTCCATCGTTTTGGAGTTCTCTCTTCCTACTTATCTTTCAAGGCCCCTATCTTGTGTGACCTCCTTGGCGAAGCTTTTCTGATTCCCGTGCTGAGTAAGTTGCTCCTTTTCCTATCTTTTGTAGCAGAGGCTGAACATGGAGTATAGCTCTGATCATAGTATAGATCCTATGCATCTATCAGAGGGTAGATACATAATAAGAGTTTAGAAGTTACCAGGGGCATGTCTGTTTCATTCCACCTCTGCCTGACACATAGTAAGCCTCTGTCTGTGTGTTTGCTGAATGGGTCAGTGACATTTTTTAGCGTTACTAGCTTTGATCCTTATTTTATGAGCTGGCCAGGTTCAGAGTGACACTGGGCTTTTCCTTCTCCTATTTAAGGTC